GTTTGCCTACTCGTCAAGATGGCGTCGAAAACCGTGACAAGGTCTATTGGACTCCACTCAGTCCTGTTACCATTACTTACTACCTGAAATCCTCTATCCTGATTAAGCTCCTCGCAGGACTTCATTATTCAAGCCCATTTCATGGGTCTTAATTTAGAGGGGGCGCATATCTAATATACAAAAGACGACGGTATCAGTTCTCCATAAAGAACTAGTCAACAACGTGGAAAAGCTTAAGTACAAGAAGGTTGGAGGTCATGTAGTCGAGGTTCAGTGATCAACTCTGAACTTCCAGTTGGTAAATAAACCGGCCATACCGGATCAGTGCACACGAAAGTTTTACAGTCGTGATTGATTAATACAGTCTATCATTCTTTAGTGAAGAATATTTAGGGGAGCCGGGGGTGGGGGGCTTAATTGACAAGGGGAGCTTATTAACTTTCTTCCCCTGAAAAGAGACGAGGCTTAATAGAGGATTTACGGTATCACTTGGGTCCACAAATTTGGAATTCCCTTCCATTATCCGTCTCAAGCTCAACAACTTTTACTCCTCTCTATGTTTGTGACTTTCTTTCTCGTACCTTTGAAATTGCTGGCTGAAGTCTGCTGCATTCTTCTACCCTGGGTACCAGAGGTTTTTCTCGCGTGCGGCGGGAAATTTAGGTGTTGGCCGAAGGCAAGAGAGGATAAAGGTGACAGAGAAGGCACCTCCATACACACCCTATTCCATAGGTAATTCGTCTCGAGTTATTTTTAGAATCGGGATAAAGTTACCTCGCGCGCTGCGTGGATGTTTCGTGGAGGTTTCGAGGTTTCGCATGACTAAACACCGTGCAAAACATGTCGGGCGAAAGGCAATGAAAGCGTTAAGACATTTAGAGCATTTCTGAATATTGAAGCGAAATGAGTCGGCGCTCACCTGAGAAAAGGGAATCGCTGGACTCTTTTACAACCCGTAAAATCAGTTTAACTCGAAGTTGTCGTAACCTCAGTGCCTTAATAAAATGAGAAATTTCGCCGGTCTATTGAAACCGGTCGTTTGTACAATAAAGCAAGTAGGAGGCCAAGTGTTATTTTTGTTGAATAATAAAAGACTAATAAAAGAATAAATGTCAAACCAGAAATTGCTCTCTTCAAACCGTAAATTATAAATGATCCTGAGAGAATATTCACTTGTTAAGGATTTCCCTGCTGTACTGATAGCTCTATACAAGAGAGGAAGCGCGATTCTTTTTTAATTTCCATTTCGCTGACACCGCTTTAGCAGAAATAGACTCTCTTAAGTCATTTTCGTCGACAAAACGAATAGCAATAGTGCTCTCCGAGTCTTCCGCCATTTTTTTCTGCTTCAATTCCTGAAGGACGCGTCGCTCTGAGCGTGGGTCATCCACGCGGAACACATTGGCGCTATGTGATTGGCTGTTGTCTAATCCCCTTACGATATGTGTGTCTTAAAAATAACTCGAGACGAATAACCTATGGAATAGGGTGTGCATGGGGGATGCCTTCTCTGTCCCCTTTATCCTCTCTTGCCGAAGGCCAACACTATCTTCGGCCGTAGGCCGAAGCTGCGTCACTATAAAGACTTGACAGAAACCGTAAACCGCGCTCGAAAAGTCTCTGGCACCCAGGGTAGCATTCCTCTGCCCCTCCATATCAACCAATGACCAACTCATAGGGGGACCTCTTTGAACAAGCCTTCGGCTTTCTGAGGCCTCCCCAACACTCGCTCCTTTGATCATTCTATATGACCTATTTTATGAAACTGTTCTTGTTCAACTTTAACTGTATTATTTTTCAAGATTAAGATATCTTGTATTGCAATTATGGTACAATATATATAACTTAATTTTATCTAAAATTGAATGCGGCTATAATCTTACGTAAGACGTACGTAGTGGCAGTAAACAAAGGTAAATAACTTGTTTGAAAAATAAGGAAGAATAAGGATCAGGATTCCAATATATGGATAGATTAGGATCGGAATTCCAGTGTTTGGAAGAATAAGGATCGGAATTCCAATGCTTGAGTCAAGACAGCGACGGACAGTCTTGAACGAACCTGACTCCATATGACATCAGTTCTAGTCGTCACTCTAAGTGATATCTAAGTATTAGTCGTTCATTTAGATGGAATTCGTCGCCCAAGAAGTCTGAAGGTAAGGTTAGAAATACAAGGAGTGGACTGAGCAGCCATGTCAGTGGCATGCATAAAAATAGTCAAGGGAAAAGGACCTGTCTTCTGCGCTTTCCCCCAACAAAGAACGCCTGATCGCAGGTTAGCTCCCCCAGGGCAGCTTGGGTAGGCGGGTTTACGGTCACTTTGTCACCACCAATATTAGGGACCTTAAGCAAGAACGACGACGACGGCAGAAAACGTTACCCTGCGAACATGGTAGCCTCCGCCCTGGAGAAACCACCGCTCGCAGAGTATTAAAACGTCGGTAAAACAATGAATTTGCGTTCTTTCAAACTTAATCGCGTCTATTTGGACCCGCTCAATATGTCAAATGCAGGCGACTTTACTGGAGTTGAATTCTTAAGGATTTTATTCAGGTTAAAAAAGATGAAGGAAAATTCGTCGTCGTCTCCATAGGTCCACGTCCTCCATAAAACGTCAAATTAGGAGGTTTCACGTCGTAGTCGTGCAGTGGACGTCACAGAAATGTACTAAAAAGCGTAACGCATGTGCGGAGCTGTTCTTGGTCATTAAACCTATAGTCGTCGTAGTTGCTTAAGCTCCTTAATAAGTCGACTCGTCACCAACGAATTACTCTGAAATAACTGACACAGTTTAATACCGGGATTGCTTACTTAAGATTTTTACTTGTTCGTCAAGCGT